TGCAATTATTTTGCATTATTATATCATATATACATAATTATATACAAAAGTAATTTTTTCACAGGAATATATAAAGAATTTTAGTCGTATTATAAAAGACAAAATCTTTTTCTAAATGATTATAGAAATATTTAATTTAATGAAAATTGCTAGAACTATACCAAAATTAATCAGTCATCGAAATTTGACAAAATCTCGTATAATACTGCACAACTTTAAGTAAAACAAATTACGAACAGTAACGAATATTTTTTACTTTCCTTACGAAGCCGCCTGTGTTCAACAAAATACAGGTGCGAGTTACAAGATCTAAATATCTTCAGTATTATTTCATTGAACTTCTTCGAAAAATCTTCACTGATGTTAATCTTCGAACGTTGTACCATACACTTTGCCAGTACGTGTATCTTCTCATGATGATTTATTCTTCCATTTATACAATATTTACAATTTTACAATGCCACAGTCTTATAGAATCAATTTACATTCCTTCATTTAGATTTGAGAAAAATTTCTTACAATACGAATCTTCATAATGAGGTGGTATCGATCATCGACTAGTCTTTTTGCGTTTGCGTTTTGACTCACCGGACGGATTCCATTCTGGATCAACATCGGTGTAAGAATAATTTACTTTAGGAACGTTTCTTTTTGAGCTTCTTGTTTGACGTAGAGGTGATTGCGTTTTTTTTACCTTCTTGTACGTTCCCTCCTGCTCTATCGCCTCCATTTCAAATCGCTTCAACGACGTCGCATTCGACAGATTAACCTCTTTGCGTTGCACAGGTGTTTTAATTGTCCTTTGAAGGCAAGATTCTTGGCACACCGGATCGGATTGACACTCGACGTTTCTTGTATTTTCCTCCGCGAGATTCTGATGTGAATCGGCAAGGTTCATATCCTTATAGTAATCTCTTCTCACCAAACCTGATCCGCAATGATAGCCGTCGTGTGAATCCTTTTTTTTCGCAAGAGACAGTTCATATTCGGACTTACAGATTTGAGCGGTCCTCTTTTGTGTGTTGTCCAAAACTTCCAAAGCAGCTATCGACATCATAGGCATAGCAGGATAATTATCTATTTTCTCGGCCTTAATTGGTATTTCCCCGTATGCCATAGCGTGTGCTTTCAACCTCTTTTTCAAAGGCAATTTGTTCTCCGTGTCCTTATTGAATATCTTCTCTGAATCGCATTGAACATCATGTTTCTCCAGCGAATTATTCTGCAAAATACTCTTCCCTATTTTACACAATAATTGATCGTCATATAATTTCCCTATGACGGCTTCGCTTTTCGCTCTGTCATGCTCCTGGACGGCAGGACTTTGTACTGACGAGTGTGTTGGCAAGAAATACGGACTGCTTTCGATACAAGACACGTGAGTATCTGTAGGTGGGTGTATACACTGTCTGCAATGTGTAACGATATCGTAAGTACAATTTAAACATGAACAATGCGATCTTCCGCATGGGCTACCTGATTTAGCGTGAGAATGAAAGGAAGTAGTGGTGTTAATTTGCAAACTACACGATACCGACGTGCAATGCTTGTGATATGGTACACACAAGTCCGCATTGCCAGCACAATTTCCGTAAATCGATGGTAAGGCGGTCGGATGAGTGGCGGGAATATGTAAGGGATGTTGAGCATCAACTTCGTGCGGATGTGAGTGAATTCCGTTGCATCCCGGAATCGCGCAATTCGACGCGATGTGATTGGAAATGTTGTTAAATTCTTGCTTGATATTCTGTCGAAACGCGAGATTCGGCTTCGAAGATTTCCGTTTATCTATCGGCTTGTTCATAACGTTTACATCCTGATACATCTGTGAATTGATGGAAAGCATGTCAGTCGATAACGGTACCTTCTTAGAGTATCCCTTCGCGTCTGAGAAATTACTATCATCGGGTTCTATCTTGATCCCTTTACCTCGTACCATTGAACATTTGCTTTCCTGATACGGCGAGTCTTTGTTATATAGGGTTAATTCCAAATTATACGATGCATGATCCAGAGAAGTTACAGCTTCAAATTGTCCACACTCTTCCAATGGCGATACCCAATTTTTTTCCTTTAACCTAGTGATCTCGTCGTCGTTATTGTGATCTTTCGAATTTTCGACCGCCTTATTTATAATATACAAATTGCTGTTAGGAGACTTTTGCAGTAAAACCACAGTTTCCCCGTTTAGTATTACATTCGTGTTCTCTTTCACTGTTTGCACATTACTTTTCTCTGTAGGGGCCAAATTATGCGTCAATGTATCCGCATCATAATTAATACTTGCTTCCGGATGAGAAACAACTTTGCACGTCTCGTCGTTGTTTCTACTCTCTGGTTCGTTAGATGTTACTTTTACACGAAGCGCGACTTTATCTAAGGCGTCCTCAGGGTAAATGCCAACAATTCTGTTGATGATCTCTGTGGATGGATTTTCAAGCAACTGAGAAACAGTGTTGGACGAATCGTTCGTATCAGCTTCGTCGTCAGTAATTTGATTATAACACGCATACCTCAAGGATGCGTAATCTTTCACCTTTATTTGATCACATTTTATTTCAAATTCTGGCTTCAAATGTGGCACATGCTGTGAAACGCTAGCTAATAACGACAGACCATCGATATTGTCTTGTATCTCAGACCCTTGAACGATGTACTTATCTTCGGGAACATTGCACACGTTTTTCTTTTCTGTTATT